TACTTTTGCCCACCCCTGTATATATATATTTTTCCATATGGGGGTATTTTAAAATGCTTTAAAAAATGCTCGTTTTTAAAAGGAATTAAATTTGGGTGCCTGGGCTAGCACTCATTTTGAGAGTGCAACGGAAGGCTGTGGCCACCGAGCTGGGATGGAAGGGCTGGGGGCAGTGATGCCAGGCTGGGGGCACAGAACACAGAGAAAGACAGGGACCCCGCGGGAGGAAGTGCAGAGAAAATGCTGTCAGAAGCCACATCACAGGCCATGTTAGTCATGATGTGCACCCGGGCTTTGCTCTGATTGCCAGGATAGGATGAATGGTTTGAGCAGGTCTCAGGACCGTGACAGGATCTGATGTGTGTCCTCAGATGGGTTTGATGTGGCAGAAATGAAAGCCAGGACCACCAGGAAGCCCATGGAGTTGTCCAAGCGAGACAGGATGACAGACTTGGAGTAGGGTCAGGATGGAAGAGACAGAAAGAGGTAAAGAGATTCAGAGTACATTTGACAGAAAGGAAGGGCATGTAACAGTAATGTGTGGGTTCAAGGGCCATAAAAAAGGTGCTTGTTTTAGGAGACAGAGCATTTCTCTGCATTAGCAAAGGAGGCCCAATGGGTTAGTTGTTAATTTAGGCTATCAGAATACTTACACCCTCACCCTGGGCAGTACGGCGCAGTGGGTTGGGGCATCATCCCGTAAACCCATGACCTTCACCATCCCGTGAAGATCATGGGTTTGATTCCTGGTCAGGGCACATGCCTGGGTTGAAGGTTTGGTCCCTGGTCGGGGCACATATGAGAGGCAACCAATGTTTCTCTCCCTCCCTTCCCTTCTCTCTAAAATCAATGAGCATGTTCTTGGGTGAGGATTTTAAAAAAAAGAATACCTACACCCTCAATTTACAAGTAAAGAGCAAAGGTCCAGAGAGGTGAAAAGCTCTTTTAAGCAAAGAGTTGGCTATAACCTGCATTTCCTCTCTGGAATTTTCCAGGCTACAGGATTTCTCATTTCCCAGCACCTCCTCTCAGACTCAGTTCAGTACCTGGTCAATATCTTGCATGACTTTCTCTGGAAGGGAATTTTATTAATAAATCATCTTTTACCTGCATTCTTCTGAATGTAATAAGTATGAGTTAAGTAATGGAGATTGTTAGAAGGAGAATATTTAATATTAAGACTTTAATTGTACATTAAAGCCAAGTTTTGGAGGCCATTCTTAGACCATTAACTCTGAACTTCTGTTTCCAAAGAACAAACAGCAAAAGAAGAAACTTGAAATAAATATTTCCTTCACCTGCTTTCCTAGGCAATTCCAATTCGTCCTGATTTCCCCAAACCAAGGATTTCTCTTCTGTTTTGACAACATGGACCAGCATTCACTCAGCTTTGTAAGAGGGTGGTAATGGAGACAGTGTCACTGAAGAGCACTGAGGGCTCAGTGGACTGACGGTGCCACCAGCTCCTGTCAACGGCCCTCAGCAACAGCAGGCACTGAGGGAGCAGACCAGAAAGACGCATGCCCGACACAGCCACGTTCAAACCTCACCTCTGGCACTTAGCTCACAGGACAAAGTTCTTAGCATCCCAAAGCATCAGCTTCCCCATTGGTGCGGTACTTAGCCTGGCGGCAGTATGTGCAGGTCCCATCAGGCACAGAGCTTGTGTAGGCACGACACACCCAGCCGTGAGTGCTGGGGAACCAGCCATGCATGAGTAGGCTCTGAGCCTCACAACACCCACAAGGACGGGGTTACTGGACTGACGTCACAAGAAATCTGGTGGCCGGCTCCCTGAACGTGAGGGCACAATCGAGGACATGAGCTCCTTTTCCCTTCCTGTTCCAGTTCCCTGACTGTGGCTTCCGTCTCTGTGGTTACAAGCTGGGGGCTGTGCTTTGTATTAATCATGTATTTTATTTTCTGCGTTTTAGGATGCTTTGATGTCTTATCTTCAAAGATTGCTGGCCAGGAAGAGACTGTCCCTCCCAGGGCTAGCCAATTCTTAACAGACAGCAAAGTCCTGGCTTACTGCACATCTTTCACCAGTGAACCTGAGTTTGTCTTCACAACCGCCTTCTTATCTAACTCGCACACACTGAGCTAATACTTCCCTGCCCTAAATCACGCAGGACAGGGACCAGGCAACCAGAGGTCACCCTTGGAGCCCAGAGCCCACTGACACAATTCTAATGGGCAGTCCTAGGCTGCTTTCCCAGCCTGCCTTGCACTTCCCGTGGAAACTCTGTGAAGACTCTGACCTAGGCTTTCTCTTCATTCCTGTCCTCTGCCCATGCTCACACATGGTGCTTCCCCTGGGTGGCCCTGGGTGGCACACTGTGCCCATCTCAGAAGTCATAACTAACAAATTCTTCTTTCAATAGTATTGCACCTGTGACATCACTTGGTCACATTCATAAATTAAAACCTTGCAGCTACAAACTTTAAAACAGCTTGTCAGGTAGAAAGATGCAGTAACAGCCCTGGCTGGTGTGGCTCAGTAGATTGACTGCCAGCCTGTGAACCAAAGGGTCACTGATTTGATTCCCAGTCAGGGCATATGCTTGAGTTGTTGGCCAGGTCCCCAGTAGGGGGCGCATGAGAGGCAACCACACATTGCTGTTTCTCCTGCTTTCATTCTCTTTCCCTTCCCCTCTGCTTAAAAATAATAATAAAAAAATCTTAAAAATTTATTTTTTTAAAAAAGAAAGAAAGATGAGGTAATAACAAAGGACAATTTCCAAAAGTGTCCTTTGGAAGCTCTGTTCTCTCAGGGACACCTGTCAGAGCTCACTCGCCACACCTGAGCCACATGGCCCTAACGAAGGAGGCAGGGAAGGCAAAAGGTTCTAAAGTAGGCACTTTACCATCCTTCAGCACATCAGGATTGTTTCAGGTAGGAAGAAGGAGCGAACATATATTGAGTGGCCTATTAGCCCTGTCTGCTGAATAGAGAAAGGGCTATTACTGAGGACATTTTAAAAAGATTGAGCCCTGGCTGCTATAGCTCAGTAGATTGAGCGCCGGCCTGTGAACCAAAGAATCGCAGGTTCGATTCCCAGTCAGGGCACAGGCCTGGGTTGTGGGCCAGGTGCCCAGTAGGGGGTACCTGAGAGGCAACCAACATGGATGTTTCTCTCCCCTTCTTTCTACCTCCTTTCCCCTCTGTCTAAAAATAAATTTAAAAAAAAAGATTGAGCTTTGTCACAATGTTGCTCTTTTTTATATCCACAATCAGATTTTCTACAGCATTCTGATCAATGCAACTTAAATCAAGGAATAATGTTTAAGTTTCTATAAATTAGACAAGCTATGATGTCCCATATGTGCTAAAAATTCAACCACTTTGCAGTACAGTCACACACTGATTAACAATGGGATACATTCTGAGTAACACATCGTTAGGCAACCTTGTCATTGTGCGAACACCAGAGGCACTTACGTGCACTTGGGTGGTACAGCCTACTGCACACCTGGACTGCACACAGCCTTTTGCTCCTGGGCTACAAGCCTGTGCAGCTGTTACTACATTGACCACTCTAGGTAACTGTGACCCTATGGTAAGTATTTGTGTATATAAATAAATTTAAACACAGAGAAGGTACTATAAAAATAGGGAATACAAGGTATAATAAAAGTGTACACCTGTATTACAGGGCGCTTACCATGAATGGGGCCTATAGGACTGGAAGTTGCCTGAGTGAGTCAGTGAGTGAGTGGTGGGAGACAGGAAGGCCTAGGGCATGACTGTCCACAATCGCACTCTATAAACACAGTCCCAGAGCCTCTGCAGGGGCAGGTGCAGAGCACTGAGGCTGCCAGCATGGCTCCGTGTGCAGGGCAGTGGCCTGGAGGGGCTGCAAGGATCATGGAGACACTGGCTGGGTGAGACACAGATCACAAGACAGTGCTCTGCAGGGAGGGAGGGAAAGGCGGCCTGAGGGCCAGGAGGAAAAGGAAATTCAGATGAAGAGATAAAGGGCCTAGGTCATGCCCATGTTGTTTCAGCTGCCGCTTGTTGGAGCAATGCTCAGATTAAGGAACTTTGTGTTATTCATAGAAAAAGAAGGTGGTTAATATAGAGCGAATGTAGAACTGAGGGCTCAATATGTTGACTTCAGAAATTTGTTTTTGGTTCTGTTGACTCTACCTGGCACAAAGCACTCTCTCTGGCATTGAACTGATAGATGAAATAAAACTAATCTATGCTTTAGGTTATTACAACCTAAAAATATTTCCCAAGTAGAGGGACAGGCTGGCTCCACACAACCAGAGACAGCCCTTACTCAAGTGGTAGTGGCACCTTAGCTTTGTCGAGGGCGGTCCCATGGACCCTGGGCAGGGTCTGAGGTCCTCCAGGAAGCATGCGCAGCGCTGTTCCTGGAGGACCCCTGGCAGGTCCGCAGGGGCCATCGCCCTCTGCACATCAGCTCCTCTGTGTGACACGGGTCCGTGGTGACTGACAGGGGCATCGCCTCTCAGGGGACTGGGGCCAAGAGGGACTCGGATGCCAAGCCCCACAGACACTGCTCCCGTCAGAGGGAAAGAAAAGAAGAAGACTTCCCGGTTCACATATTCTTCCACTTCTGACAGAAAATGCAGCTCCATTATAACCTTATGGGACCTTCATTGTATACATGGTCCAGCAACCATTAACCAAAATGTCACTAGGCCACAAATTATTGTATTTCAAAAAATCCCATATTGCTACAGTTGAGATAAAAATGAGTATTTGAACTAAAACCATTTTTATATTTCAACAAAGATGACTTTTTGTAATTTTGAATCTGATGAGCAAATAAGCAAAAAAAAAAAACTTTATGAAGACAAAAGAATTGAGCATGACTGTATATTTATATTAAGATTCACACAGTAACAATTACAAATAGTATTGAAAAATACCAACTTAAATATTCCTATTCCTCATTAATCTGTTCTTTCAGATCAAGCCATAAACCACCATTTTAAAGCTAAGAATTCAACTCAAAAGAAGATCTTACCTTATAGTACCTCAGCAGAAGTTCTGAATGTCATTTATTTGGCGTCCAATCAGAACACAGGTGCTAGAAGAAAATAAGAAAATGGGGTTAAAGTATAGCCAGGACCTGGAAAAGAGCAATCCAACAGGTTACACAAAGTGATTTGAGGTAATGTAGGAAAATCACAGAATTTTCTATTGAAGTGACCTCCTAGGTCACGGTACCCAACCGCCTCAGGGAGCCAGTGAGCGTCGTGGGTGGTCAGAGAGCTAAGGCAAAAGCAGCGCCCCTGCCGGCCTCCTACGAGGGGCTCTGATAGGTCCGCTCCTCACACCCACCAAAGCTCCCATCACACCGAAGGGACATGAAGCAAGAAGAGGAGGAGAAAACAAAAGACATTGCCTGCCCCGTAATGTTACATGTTGGAGACGGTGTTTCCGTGCTTAGCAAGTGAGTTCAGAGAGAGGTCCTGGGAACGATGCCTGAGCCATCCCAGTCACATGAGTGATGCTTGCACAGTGATCTAGTGACTGGTCCAATTCTCCTTCAGAAATACAACCAAGCCTTAAAGACAACCCACCACCATTTCAGACACTGACATTCATATTTTTAAAGTGCATGGAGCCTGGCATTTAGACCAGAAAGCATCTCTCAGGACGGCATCTCCTTCTGAAGATCAATGTAAAGAAAGGAAAGGAGACAGAAAGTGCCCAAGGGGAGAAGAAGGGATGTGTGTCCTTGTGCAGAATGTCCCTGAGCGCAGAGGCCGAGGCCAGAGGCAGTGCTGCGGGAGAGCCTGGGGGCGGAGCCTGAGGAGGTATCACGGCATGTTTAACGGAGAACCTCGCAGTCCCCAGAGTGTGAAGGTGAAGCCAGGCGACAAGGAGACAAGGGGCTGTGGGGTGACAAGAGAGTGCTCCAGGGGCGCATGTGGAGGGACCTTCTCAGCAAGGATGAGAGGACCTAAGTGCAGCGTCTGAGACAAAGGTCTGTAACAAGCTAAGTGCCTGGATAAATGTTTAATTAATAATTAAATAACAGACATTTGTATTTTGTGTTGTCATTTGTTAAACTATCAATCTTCAAAGGACTGGAAAAAATGACAAGAAAGAAAAGTCCTGGTTCCTCCACCAATCTGAGCAGCACTATCCCGCCGCACATGCGCCGCGTGGCTGCCTCCGCCTCCCGTGCTCCTCCTGCCGCAGCGGCAGTGCGGCCCCTCGCTTCGGGCCGCTCCCACTTCCAGCCCTGGCCCAGGCGAGGCCGTCAGCCCGCTCCCCTCCTGGGCGCCCCTGTCTGCGGAGCATGTCCTAGGAAAGAAGTGGCGGCAGCTGAGGCTGGGAGTGCAAGGTGCGCCGTCGCCACCCGGATCCAGGCAGTCCGACCCTCCCTGCCCGCTGCCTTGTCTCATTCCGATACCGGCATCCCCGCTGGAAGCTGGTCTGCACAAGGAGAGACAACTCAGCCGTGGGAACGCGCCATCCCTGCTGCAGGCGGCAATGGGCCACGGGTGCGGCCGGGGAGGGGCGGACAGAACCACTTCCGCTCCTCGGCTCCCTCTAACAAACAAAAGTGTTTTCTGCCCTGTGGGACACACCAGTGAGCCTAGCATTCATCTTTCATTCTGGATTCTTTCTAGAATCTAGTAATTCAGAGAGCGAGTGCTCAGTGAGTTCCACTGAGGCACACATCAGTCCTTTACAGTGACCTACTGTCTTACACATAGCAGTAGCTCAATGAGAATTTGTTATATGGAACTTATCATAAAAATTAACAATTATCCAGAATGCATTTGCCTGGCAGACTTAAGAATCCCAGCATGAATACATACTGAGATTCAGATGAGGTTGAATATGTAAATTTCTCAATAATATACAATTAAGTTGCACCATTAATGATAAAATAGAAACACTATCCAGCCATTAAAGTGCCTGCTAATAAAAATACTGTGTCCACTAAGGGAACTGGAGAAAAGTGAGTGAGACTGAACACCCTGCAGTGTTTCCATGTCTCTCTAGTGCCCGACTCAGGAAAGCCATCATTTTGAAAACCCGCCAGGGAACTGGCTTTCATCCCAGTTCACATTCTCTCTATTGCAAATGAATGGCCCCGGGCATTCATTTAGGGGTGAGCTTCAAGTCTCTGCATACACAGGACAGGCTCCTCCAAGCCCAGGGAATGGGGTTGAAAGGTCACATAATCACAATACAACTGAGAGTCCTGAGACTGTTGTCGTCATTATGCAACAAAGAGGAAAACAAAGCCAGGGACTAAGTGAAGCTGTCTTTATGGAAGGACAGAGGAGAGGCCTTGGGCCTGAGAAACGCAAGCTCGTGTTAATGTCTCTGAGGTAGCAGCCGCTCTCGGTCAGATTGTCTGCAGTCACGGAGGTGACACTGGGGGGAGCGTCCACGAGGGAGCCGTCTTAGACGTTTCCTATGACGGCCTGAACGCCCCCATTTCCTTAAAACATTTCCTAAAAATCACATTGGCCTACTTTCTAAGTACTTGGAGCACACATATCCCCTTCTCACTAGCAAGAGGCAGAACATGAGTGCCGATGATTTGCAGTCGAAGTGGATGGTAAGCGAATCTGTGGCCATCTGACTTGGCTGGCATTATACATGCTCACAGTCTTGAAGTAAATAAGCTCACTAACCAATTCTTGTGTTCAGCTGAAATAAGATCCTAGCATCTCAGGGAGGATCTGGAATAGTTCCGTTTTTAATTTCACATATACCTTTATTTTTAAAAATATTTAAAAAGATTTTATTTATTTATAGACAGGGGACGGGAGAGAGAAAGAGCAGGAGAGGAACATCCATGTGTGGTTGCCTCTCACACACCCCCCACTGGGGACCTGGCTGGCAACCCAGGCCTGTGCCCTGACTGGGAATCAAACCAGCAACCCTTGGGTTCATAGGCTGGCACTCAATCCATTGAGCCATACCAGCCAGGGCTATATATTTTTTTAACCTCCCATATCAGAAGACCAAAATATGTAAGTGATTTGGCAAATTTGAAATTAACAACCTGTTATTTCCTCTCCCCCAAGGACATGCTTATTGAATTTAGAGAGAGGGGAAGGGAGGGGAAGAGAGAGGGAGGAAACATTGATGTGAAAGAGAACCATTGATTGGTTGCCTCTTGTATGTGTGCTGACCTGGTACCGAACCCGCAACCTAGGTATGTGCCCCGACCAGGAGTTGAACCAGAGACCTTTACGTTTACAGGATGACACTCCAACCAAATCACTCAGGCCAGGGCTTGACAGCCTGTTTTATCAGAATAGGCTATAAATAGAACACATAGTTCTACAAGTATATATACTATGCATAGTTTGGTTTGTATTAAGTTCTCATTCAAAACTGCTTTAATTAAGTATCTGTGCCCATTCAGATGTCCTCCTGGGCTCTGCCTGATGCACCAGAGCCCGTCTCGTTTTCAGCTCTCCCATCAAGCGAGGCAGGGACAGAACCAATTAAAACACAGGGTGGTTCTTGTGAAGGAAGTTATGTGTTTCCTTGTTAATATTTCCGATTTGCACATGAGGCTCAGGATCTAATAATTGTCTCAAAGTTGCCCAGTAAGTAATTGGTAAAGTCGATATGTAAGTTAGGATCCTTTTTATTACAAATCCCACATAATAGGAACAACAAGGACAACAACAACATTTGCTAACTCCTCAGAATACACCAGGCAGTACTGCCAGCCCTTCACACACACCCAGTCACTCACTCATCACACCATTTCCACTGTGACTTGTGTCGTTCGCACGGATAACAGGGCTGCTGTCTCTGCAGGGGAACTCCAGCCCCACAGGGGTTAGTGAAGCAAATTTGATGCTGCTGTATCTTTTCCCATTTACCACTGTCCTCCTCTGTCCATCCGTTCATCCAAGTTACAAAATGCACACAAATTAACACATAAGAGTTCAGCGGGTCCCGCAATCCCTGCACCACTCCTGAGGAGCTGCATGAGCTGTCCGGCACCCTGTGAGCCTTGGTCAGAGCAGCGGCCCCCTTCTCCGTGGACCTGGGCCTGCGGAGATGGACGGGGCGCCTGGCTCCCTGCGAGCACGACAGTGTGGGAGGAAGCAGAGGTCATGGGAAGGGCATTCTAGGGCTGAAGGAAGTCACTCGCTCTGGGATTCGGTTGTCAAGGAGTCTTGCCACCATCCTTGACAGGAGTGTCTTAGGAGATGGCCCTGAGCCAGGCTGGTCGGTTGATGGGAACACAGCATCAGACGTCTTCCGGACGCCTCCGCCCTTGTGATCAGGGCGGTGGCGGGCACAGTGGTGTGGAGCCCACAGGCCGCAGCCCATTGCAGAGACATGGCAAGGCTTAGTGTTCTGGCGAGGGAACAAGCAACAGGGTGCAGAGCCCTCGGAGCAGGTGTGCGGGGCGGGGGCGTCTACCTCAAACAAGAGTGAGGAGCACCAACCGGGATGAACTAGAGACATGGCCTCCCAAGGGCCTGCCAGACCTCTCAGAGGCTACACAACCCCAGGAGCCACCGGCTGGAGGGGGCGAGTCTCCTCTTCACTGACAGGCGGCAGGGCTGAGCCTCGCAGGAGCCAGTTTCGGACTCTGACAGCCCCCTGACGTGAGGCCTGTGGAAGCGGGTCCAGAGAATCTTTTCCAGCCTCCTCACGCCAGGGGTTCCAGCAGAGGCGCTGCCCCGCACCCTGGCTCCGGCAGACAGCAGGGACACAGTGATGGGGGAGGAGCCTGCTCCCCGGCCCGCGGGGGGAGGGCTGCCTGTCACTCCAGTTTCAGAAAACTGACCTCACGCTGCTGAGATAAAAGGTGGAGCTCAATTCAACTGGACATACAAAGCAGAGCGAAAAGTACGGTCCGGACTTTGTCACTTCACTTTTCATTACACGTACACAGGTCAGTGACGGAAAGAAACTTCACCAACAATAATATCTGTTGGTTGTTTCTTCCCAAAATTAGGTAGCACGTTAGTGTCCTTCTACATTTTTTAATATATCAGAACAAATAAAAAGCACTTAACAAAAATGCACTTGTGTTTCTATGGTGCTGGTGGAATGATGGAGTTGAGGGTCTTTTGCATCTGA